CAAGGGGAGCCCCATGTAGAGAGCATTACAGTAGTCCAGGCGGGAGGTAACAAGAGCATGGGTGACTGTGCGCAAAGCATCCCGGTCCAGAAAAGGCCGCAACTGGCGTACCAGGCATACCCGGTAAAACGCCCCCCTGGCCACAGCCGTCAACTGGTCTTCCAGTGTCAGCCGTGGATCCAGGAGGACCCCCAGATTGTGTACCCTCTCCGAGGGAGCCAAAATTTTGCCCCCTATAGTCAGCGATGGAGTCAGCTGACCATACCTTGGAGCCGGCAACCACAGCCACTCCGTCTTGGAAGGGTTGAGCCTGAGTCTGTTTCTCCCCATCCAGACCCGTACGGCCTAGCGATATAGCTTTCTGAAAGTGCTCAAGACTTTGATCTATTAAGTTGGCACCCCTGAAATGAATTTATGGATGCACAAAAGATTGCTCGAAAGTCAAAATACAAACCTGCAACTACAGGTTCCTCAGCTGCTGGACCTTCTGCAGCTGCTGGAGCTGCTTCTGGAGGAGGTGGTTCTTCAGGTACCCACAGTGTTAGATTAGTAATTTTTGTTGCTTTCCATTTTGGAGTCATTGATACCAAAGGTTCTTCTTCCTCCTCTTCTTCTGTTTTCTCCTAAAGAAGGATTAATATTCAGAACAATAATAGAAATGAAAAAAGAAATGGCCAGTCTATTTGTGATAAAAGCTTTTCTTAAGAGTTTATGAAGACCCATGCACCACATGCTTCACGCATCTTAGCAATTCCCAGCAATGCACAGAGCCAGCTATTTCTCCAAGCCTGAATTATTAAACCATGTTCCTGGTGGGTGCTCTTTAAAATTGTCTAAAAACCTCAGGTAGTTTTCCAGAATGTTAGAGCCTAATTATTGGCAAGGATCAAAGGTAAGAAACATACAGCTATTATTACAAAGGGTACACTAGCTGCTGGTCAATTTTTGATCATAACACAAAATACAGAACAAAAAAAGGCCATAAACAGTTTTGGACCTACCAGAAGGACCATTCTCCTTGCTGCTTCCTTGTTTGGGGTCTTCAAATAGACTAATTTTTTTATATCACCAATTCCTGGTTTGTGTTTGACTCAAAAATATTCTATATTTAAACATTGGAGCTATTTTCTGGGAGAGTATTGTCTAACCTTACATTTATGACCTATTTAGTGACAAATCTTGCTTTGACTAATTGGTTTGAAATATTTGTGTTACTCTGCAACATTATGTTAAATCTAATTAATCAGATGCCATTTTTTTAATCTGTGCATTGCTTCTGTGATTTCAATATCCTTAAAATGATGCTGAAAGAATCCACTCTCCATTTTGGAAATATTTACCAAGAAAATGCCAGGTGCTTTATCATCAACAACAAAAACCTAATAACTGAATACTGGCATTTTGTGATACTTTTGATAGTTCAAGAATATTTCCCCCTAAAACAGCTAGATGCATGGAGAATTAAAGAAGGTGCACAACTGACAAGCATGTGTTGTGACTCAAACGCTATCCCTTAAATATATAAGTGCTGCTAGATAAATTTGCCATGCAGCATTTCATAAAATTTATTTTAGGAAACCTATTGGCCATCCCATCTGCCATTGGTTTGTCTTTCTATCCAAGAAAGTCCCACTTCTATTGCATTGCCCCTATAATTCACTTTAATCCATCGCTGTGTTTCACTCAATCATCTGGAAACTCTAGGAAATAAAGTATTTTCTCTACCAACATAAATTGCAAATATAGTCTCTATAAATAAAAATGAACCACCATATTCAAACAAAAGCAAGCAAACAAGCAAAAAATTGCTAAAATAATTATTTAGGATGTGTGGGGAATATAATGCCAATTAATACACCAAAGGAATGTTTACCCTACATTTCTTTCTAACTTAAGTGACATGCAAGCAAATCATGCAAAATCATTCTATTTTCGAAGCCAACAGGCACCTCTTTTGAAAAGATTTCAATGGCTAATTGTTTCTCATAATTCTGAGTAGAAGATATTTGTTTGTTACTCCTTCTTTTTCCTTGGTTTGTACAGTACTGTATGAGCTAAGCAAATTACAAAAAGAATCAAATGAAATGTTATTTTTATTATACAAATTTTAAAAGTTCAAGGAGGAAAGTTTGAAAGCTCTGGGGAAAGGCAGATTTATTAAAACAACACAGGGTATTTGTGAGATAAACTTAACTGCTACACAACATTCACAAAGGATAAGATGCATGATAATCATGTATGTCTGAAAACTAGGTATGCTTGCTTTACATTTAATTGATTGATTGATTGAATGAATGAATGAATGAATGAATGAATGAATGAATGAATGAATGAATGAATGATTTCTATAGCCACCCATCTCAGCAAACAACTCTGGGCAGGCTACAATTCAAAAACATATGTTACAATTAAAATCTTAATAAAAAATTTAAAAAACACTAAAAAGAGTAAAAACCATTAAAGCAATAAAAAAACATTAAAACGTCTAATTCAAGTACATACAAGCAAGACATCTAATCTCACATATTTTGTTCTATGTCATGTCAGTGGCTGATAGCTTCTCACTGCTTTGAATATAAGGCAGTTCTTTGCCATCTATTCCACAAAATAATTTTTCGTGTGAATTTTTATAGCAAATATTGAATGCCACAACTTGTTCAGTTTTGCACTGAAGGTACATGAACGGAGAAGTCACAGGTTTAAGTGAATTCTGTATGAAATCAAGGCACCCAAGGAAAGAGAGGAGGAAAGAAAGAACCGCGGGGGTGCAGTGGTTAGAATGCAGTACTGCAGGCAAACTCACTGCTCATTCCAGGAGTTCGATTCTGAGCGGCTCAGGTTGACTCAGCCTTCCAAGGCCAGTAAAATGAGGACCCAGATTGTTGGGGGCAATATGCTGACTCTGTAAACCGCTTAGAGAGGGCTGTAAAGCACTGTGGAGTGGTATATAAGTGTAAGTGCTATTGCTATTGCTATATTCAGTAAGGATAGATTGCCTTTTTTGCATACAGAATATAAAATGGCAATCTCTTTTCAATAACTGCACAAAACTATAAAATTGTTACTTTTGATTTGGGCAAACTATTGATGCATCAAGTGACAACAAGGAAGCTCTTAAAGTCTTGCTTTAATTAATTATGATTTAATTATAATTAATGCAACGACTAGATGATTCCACTGACCTTGCAAAGTTAGGGAAAAGTGAATATTGCACAGAATCCTCTTCCGCCCTATTTGGCCAAGGTCATTGTGGATTCAAGGCAAGTATTGCTCCAAAAGATGAATGGGGAAGGAGAGGAAAATCAAAATCACTTTCCTTCTAGAAAGAATAAGCCAGATAGTTGAAGTGATTTTAGCATTGCTAGCTATCAAAAATGTTGGCTTTATTGTTTTATAAAACTACACGTAAATTATGATATCCAGTTTGTTGTAACAGTTATCATGTTATTGTTTAACTGTAAGACAGAATTAAATACAGTAAAAATAAAAGTATAATTCTGGGCTTCCTGGTTGTTAGTATGATTTAACCCAATAGCACTTACCTCCTGACAATATTCACCATGCTGCTCACATCCAATATCAAATATATACTTCCCAGCACCTAATGGCTGTATAAACAAAGGAACTTATATTAGTAGTATTTCAACAGTTTTATATTCTAAAAACACAAAATATTTCCACAATTATGCTGTACCATCCATGGCATCTATCAGCAATTTCCTTCAGGATTGTGTAAGAATAAACAGTTTAGTTTCTCGGGGGGGGGGGGAACCTCAGAAAGGACTACACTCAGAAATCAGCGAGAAAACATTTCAATCTTACAAGATCTATTGTTCCTGACTTGAAGATCGTTACTGTTCTTCATGAAAACCTTCTTTCATTTTCTTTTAACTTCATTTCTACATTTTTCTACATGTTTGTCCACACTCCGTGCCTCTGCTAAACTGAAGCCCCCCAAACCTTATGCAATAATAAATGTGCTTTTTAAAATATGGTCAAGATTCTGAATGGCTTTTGTTGCCGCCATTATGAAATTCATATGAAAATAAAACAAACATATTCTTGCTAATCAAAATATCTCTAGGGCTCCTTCAAAACAGTGGTTGAAAAATATTTGTTCATCTAAATGGCTGTGCAAATACTGGAGTTTTCTGTACGAAATGAGTTTCTGTATACCAGAATGATCATTATTAAAATGGGGTTAGATACAAAAGAAGCTGAAAGTCTTTTATTTTCTATGCCTAACGCACATTTTTCAGAAAGCAATATAATTTCTTACATACATACATTTTTATTCACAAACTTTCCCTGGAACCTGTGGTTTAGGTGAACAAGTTCAGCAGCTCCTTCTTGTTGCCCATTTGCCCAAGTGCCAACATATTTAGAAGCAGTTAATGCATAGAAATAAGTACCTTGCCCATGTCTATTGGAGAGAGAAAAAGGTTGCTTTGTATTAAGACAGAAGAAATTCTTACCCTTAATCCTGCATAAAATCTTCCTCACATTGTCAAGGAATGGATTAATTTAAATCAAGGCAAATTAAATAATCAAGTGTTAAGAAAAATCTGATTTAAATAATTGATTAAATTATCTGCATTGAAATGTCTACGTGTTATATAGATAGAGATATATCTTCAATAAGAATGCAAACCGCTGGGTTGCTGCAACAGGTAATGTATATTGATTTTCAGCTAAAAAGAGTCTTCCTTTGTTTACTATATTTATATTGCTGTCTAATAACACCGTTCTCTGGATGGCTAATGGAGTAAAATAGTATAAACTATAATCATAAACAAATCTAATCATTTCCAATACCAGGATATCCAAGATATAGTAAAAGAAAAGAAGATAACTAATAATAAATGTTTCTGTTAGAATTAAGAATTGTTGTTAAATGAGATTTCTATGTTGCTCAGGAAAAAACAATGAATATATCAATGGTCCCTCTATTAAATTACATAATTAGGGCTGTAGAAATTGCACAACCCATATTAGTTGGAAAATCATTGACAACATTTTCATCTACTGTAGTCTATTAGTCTCACAATAAATAAAATTATCATACAGCCATAATCTCAAAAGATG